GACACGGAAAAAAAAAAAAAAAAAAAAAAAAAAAAGAGAGGCTCTGATTTTAAAGGGTCAAACCCAGGGTCCCGTCCAGCACCTGTGTGGGAAGGAGTTTATCAGCTTTCTGGGTGCCCGGGAGAGGGGAAATATTTTGCTGGGGATGTTGTGGTGGGTGTCCACACGTTAGACGGGGCTAGATGTCCTGGTGGGGGCCCCTCCTATCCTGGGGGCTGCAGCTGGCCCTGGTGGGAGGGCAGGAGGCAGGTGAGCAGAGATGCGGCGTACCTGCGCTTCTCGTTCCAGGCGTTGTACCACTTGATGAAGCGCTTGGTGCTCTGCAGCTTGGGGTGCAGGCAGTGCTCCTGACCACGGTACCTGGACATGCTCTTGGTGGTGATGCTGAAACGGAGTGGGATGGCGTGGAGGGTTGAGGCTCCTTGTGTGGCTTGTGGGTGGTTCTGGTCATCTGAATCAGGACACTGAGAGACTGTGGCTTCCTCCCTCCTCTCAAGGAGGAGCGCTCACCCTCCGGCTGGCTCTCTGGAAGGTTTTGGGTGTCCCCTAATCTCTGCCTCCGTGTTAATGTCTAGCCCTGTATGGAGTGAGCAGCCTCGCTTGCCCCTTGGAGCCCTCATTGTCTCCTTCCACCCACGCCCCATGCAGTGTGTCTCTGGGGCTCAGGCCTCTCTCGGAGAACAAAGGTTGGGAGACTGTTCCAGCTCCTCTGAACCTGGAGTCAAGAGGTGGTGAGAGCTAATGCCAGCAACGTGTGTGCCAAGACCTCCCTCTGTCCTTGGATTTGAGGAGCTCCATGGTAGGGCTCGGACATGCCCTGCAAATACTATGGTCTCTGTCTGACCCTCAACCCCAGTCTCCCCCACCCTCTGCAGATGGTCCCAGGGCTGGGCATTTGCTAATCCTGAAGCAAAGTCTTCCTGTCCCTGAAGCCCATTTTGATTCTTGAGTGTGAAGTCCCAGTCTCACCCTCAGGCAGAAAAATAAGACCTCCCTTCTCCACAGCCTGAAGATCTCAGACCTCTGTCAGCCAATGTTCCAGCACCCAGTGGATGCCTAGTCAGGTGGCAGAGAAGCAGGGTGTTATTGTACAGAGTGCAGGGGCCTGGGTCTGATCTCAAATTTGCCTGTGGGACCTTGGGTAACCTCTCTGAATCCAGTCTGCCCATCTGTAAAATGGGTACAGTAACAGGACCTACCTCATAGGGTTATTGGGATGATTAAAGGATATAATCTATGCAACGTACCTAGTACCTGGAAGATGTACAATAAATTGCCACTGTTATTAGCAATTAGTCATCGAAGATGAAATGGCCAAGGAGAAAGAGAAGTCTTAGTGTGTGAGCTCCCTGAAGGGGGAGACAATACTGCCCCAGAGCCATGGTGCCCCTCTCAGCCAGGGCTGGGCTGCACGGGTGCAGGAGGTAGGAGGAAGCTTCTGGGTAGGGAAGCAAGGACGGTGTTCCAGAAAGAGGGACCAGATAGGGCACTTGGAAGAGTGCAAGGTGAGAGGTGCAGATGCTACTTCTTGAGGGGTATGATGGTAGACGGGGGTGCTGGAATGGGCTGGGGGGCAAAGAGGGGTGGTTGGAGATGAGAGTGGAGAGAATGGGAAGGGAGGGAGATAGGTCATCTAGTTCCCCACGGGTTACCAAAGGTCAAGTGTCAGGGCTCATGGGCCAAGTTCTAGAAGGGGGCACGGTTGCCATGAACTCAGTCTCCCAATCAATAGAGAGAGAAAATCGGATCTTACCATCAGAGTGGGGACAGAATGTTCCTAGGCAACCTCTTCTCTTCTCTTCTCTGTGCTCTGAGTTTCTGAGGCCCCACCAGGACCCAAGCTCCCCAGGGCACGGATGGGCCTTCGGCTAATGCTAGGTGACTGGGCCCTGTCTTCCCTGGACCCCTCTGTGAGACGTGTAGCTCCTTCTAAGCCTTGAGCATAGTGCCAGGCTTCAGAGAGCAATCTAGTCATTTCCCTCCCCCACTGTACCTAGTCACCCTGCAGGAATTTAGCAAATGCATTTCCCTCTCTGCCTACAGTGCTGCTTTTGCACTCTGAATGAAAGGACTGGCCAAGCGGGATAAAATCTCCTTCTCAGTTAGGTCAGTGTGCAGGCAGAACATCCCAAATCCTGAAGGTCAGGGAGAGCAGGGAAGGACGCTCAGCCCTCCCACCACAGTGCTCAAGTGCCACGTCATAATACTGGGATTATGAAAATCGGTTGTGGAGTGCAGACATGAGGATTTGTGACCCCAGCAACTATCAGAAATTCTGGCTCCTGTGACTCTCTCCTCCACACTTTTGGAGTGCGGAGGATTTTGATGAGGGCTCAGTGGATATATGACACATATTACCCTCTCTAGACTGGACTTTCTTGGACCCTTCTGGTCTAAGGACTCCCACTTGCAAAGCAGACTGCTCTGTGCCCCCCCACACCCCTAGCAGAGATTTCTGGGTGACTCAGGGTGAGCTGGAAAACTTGCTTTTGTTCAGCCTTTGTGGCTGGAAATCTGCTTTGGCAAAAAGTGCTGGCCTCTAGTCTCATCTAAAGAGTCTTAGGATCTTAGGAGGGGAGAGGAGCCCCCAGCCTTTCAGGGGTTGGGTGGGAGATCGGAGGGGGGGGATGGAGGTTTAGGAGAGGGTGACTGTGTGCTGATCTCATGAGGCTCCTGCAAGTTTTCACAAGGCTATACATAAAGCCTTCTCATGCACTTGTCTGGCTGTAATTTCCTCTATATTTGGCAAGGTTTAGCCTGGAAAAGAGAAAGCCTGTTGACTGAGGGTTCTCTTCTGAGATGTCACTGCACCCCATACCTTGCTTTCCTCTGTTGCACGCTGTATGGGGTGTTCTCAGCTCTTAGAGGAGTGAAATTTAATCTGCAATGCCCTGTCATTTTCAGCTCCCCACCTGGAAGTGCCGAGGGGCTTGTAGCTCTTCTCCCAGTTTATTTGACCCCTACCCCCACCAAAAAGGATATTGGGGCAGTTTTTCTGGACTTGCTCTGCAAGTCAAGGGGCAGGGACAAAGAACTTAGTTTAGGTGCTTGTGAAGGAAGGCAGTGGGGTCAGTTCAGGCCAGGTGTCTTTCTGAATTCCCCTAACTTCAGCCTGACTGTGCAGCCCCCAGGCAGGCGGAAGGTTAGGGGAAGGAGGTGGGGGCGTGGTGCCCTGCCTTTCTGGACACTGTGGGAAGGCCTTCGGGCCGGCGGGGCCGGCTGGTGGAAGGCACTTGCCCAGACTGAGAATAAAGTGTGTCCTGTTTCTGGGGGAGATGAAGAGGGACCAATGGCCCGTGGCAAATATTTGGTAGCTGCTTTGCCAAGGGCTCCCTTCCTGGCCAAGAGTGTCTTGATGGGGTGGCAGCAGTGCTGGTCTCAAGTGGTTAATTGGGAAGGCAGAGGAGCAAGGAAACTCAGTGTTCCCTCACTCTGCCCCAGTTTTTATAAAATCCCCTATACCCACCAGGCAGTGCTGTGCTCCTGGCGTGGCACATTAACCCCAGCAGAGCACTTTCCACAGGACTGCTCAAGCTCAGGGACCCACAAGGAGTCCAGCTGCTGAGGGAAGAGCCAGGGGCGCTCCCAAATTGAAACCCCTAGGTGCCAAAAACCGGCCGTTCCAGTGGCCGGTGCCCTGATTGGAAAAAGTCTCTGAAAGGAGAGTCAGGATTTAAGACAATGTCTGCTTTAACCGTCTCTCCAGTGATAGGAAGGCAGCACGCCTCACAGTTTGGGTGTATGCTCTGAGTGATTTCAATCTAAGTTCTAAGTTGGCACGCGGAGCCATTTAACCCCTGGTCGCCCTAGCAGGGTGGGCGGCTCGCGGTACAAATACCGAGGCTATCCATTTGAATCCTAGCAAGGGTGAACTTGGAGACGCTGTTACCGGAGCACGGGACAGTGACCCCTTTCCAGACTGTCTCCCAGACTGTCGCGCCAGCGTTCTAAGGATTCTCTGGACAACTAAAAGGCTTGCCAAGTCCTCCACAAAGACGGCCAGAAACGTTTGTTAGTCGACCCCAGCCCCAGGCCGTGCCCCAACACCGTAGCGCGCACGAGCTCACAGAGAGGAGCGAGAACTCACATAACCATCTTCTCCTCGCAGTGCGGGTACTTTGGCTTCATTTCCAGCTTCTTCACGTCGCTGTAGCGGATCTTGGGCCCCTTCCGGGAGCACTTGCATTTGGACCCTGCGAGAGAGCGCGCGGGGACCGCTCAGTTGCGCGAGGGGTCTCCTGCCCCTCGACTGCCTTCGGTGCCCACCAGATTCCCCGGGATGCCAGGATACCTAGAAGTTGGAGCTTGGGTTCCCCGGGACGGGACGGGACGAAGACAAGGGGCCCTCCAGGCACTCACCGTCCACGCGCGCGGCGCACAGCGCCAGGAGCA